TCAAACTCGGCCTGGCATGGCACAGCCCTCTAACATGAGAGCATCCATACAACTCCACCAACTCCCCTTGAGAACTAGTTACAGCATTCACTTTACCTGTCTTGCTTTAACTCTTGACTGTCCCAATTCCAGACTAGATAATGGCTGCTTAGTGCCTGTGAAATCTCTCATCAGATTTAAGAAAAGTGCCCTTTTCTGAGCACTTACTCTATGATTTCTTGATTTCTTAAAATGAGTTCTGAGCTGCAGAACATAACAGCATAAGCCATCCTTGAGAACCTATATCCCATCTAGAAGGCCTTTTTCATCCCTCCGAATGGAGAGGGATTCGAAGACCCAGGGGACTCTTCCTGTGCACAGACAGTCCTTAAGCCCCCACAGTAGTAAAGACCCAGAAAGGAGGCCAGAGCCTAAGGTAACAGCTTCTGCTGGCCCTCTGACCTACTTCTGACCTCTAGGTGGCTTTTGGGATCCAAACACCCTAGCTGGAGGGCTTCTGGGGGTGATGGTATCAGACATCCCTGGGCTTTGGTCTTTGTTATCAGTCCTATGACTGGACTCCTATAGTCTTTGGGTTCAAGATAATTAATCCTCTGGCCAAAGGTTGGGCCCTTGAGCTCCTACCTCAGGCATCTACATCTGGGCTCCTTAGAATTTGACGCCCTCAGGGAGCAATTACACACCCCAGCCCTCAATCTAAGGTATGAGCCTTCCTGAGAGGCAGAATGGCCCCCACTTCAGGCTAGCTGAAACAGCTTTGTTCATTAGGTTTAGATCTGAGAAAAAAAAAAGACAGATGCCGGAAGTTACAGGCCAGAGACAGACCCCAGGGACCCAAGTGACTCTCTGAGTCTGGGAAAATTGGAAAAACAGAAAAGCAGAACCAAGGGTAGAAGCAAGGGATACAGAAGGTGCAGCCTTAGCTGAGACCCAAGGTACAGGGACTGGGTTCTGGTCAATGAACAGGACACACTGTCCAAAGAAGAAAAGGAAGAGGAGGGTGGATCCCGTAAACCAGTGTCTGCACCCATTATTTATGGATGCTTCACTTGATTTGAGTATCCAAACCTAGGCTCAGCACGGAGACTGAATGTCCCTCACAGCTGCTCCTTCCTGCAATAACAAGACTGACATCACTGTTGTCAGGGTAATGGTGTTTTGATTAAAATCATGTGACAGCTACTTCAGATTCAATAAACAAATCCCCTGTTAACCCTTGCCTGAAAGGCCCGCCAGCAGCACTGTCATCAGAAAATAACTTGCAAACCATCCAGGAGAGAGTAGCTGAGCTGACCTTAGGGAGGCAGGGTGTGGGAGGTGGCCCACACTGCTCCCTGGCAGGTCCTGCATGAGGGATACATAACATCAAGTGTACAGAAGGCTCTGTAGACTTCAATAGTCCATCTCCAAGGCACTGTGGAGGCACCCTTCAAGAGGACCCAGATCTCAACCCATGAGATCCCTTTTGGACCAAGCAGCATGCACAACCCTGGGATGTCAAATAGTTCCCTCAGGACCATGAGGCCAAAAACTGAGGACAGTTCCCAGGGCTGTAACAACTGGATTTTCATTCTTACCCCACTGTATCTGGGGCAGATGCAGTGTGTTTGCTGTGCACCAGAGACAGTGAGGAGTTAAGAACAATTTCTGGTTTGCAATTGGATGACTTCCTGGATCACTCACTTGGCCGCTGGCCCCTGACATACAGGCCTCTGCCTGGCAACAGCCAATTCCCTTTCCATCTTACCCTCATTTTCTTTAAATGAAACAAATATAGGGAAGGCTCCCCAAGTCAAGGGACAAATTTGTCTGGGTTTAATGAACTGCAGCCCAGAGGCCTAGCACAGCTAGCCTCTAGGGGAAAGTTCATGACCATCTGAAACAAATGGCAATACCTAGTCCTAGGCTGTTGTGAGAATTGAATAAGATTTGGTCAAGTGCTTGACAAGATGCTACAGTTACCCAGGAGGGGAATGCAGCTAATGCTGTCCTCAGCTTCTGAGCCGCCTTCAGAGCTGAGCAAGTCAGCCACGGCAGGAGGCATCTCAATGATCAGCACTCTTCAGGTACATACTCTGTGTTTAATGGCATGGCCAGGTACCCCTGAATTTGTACAAAAACATCTCCTTTTCTTCCTAAGAAGTTTTTGGTTTAGGCCTAAGAAAATATAATGGTTATTCTCACTAATTCAGCCAAAGTCTCTCCCTTAAGTTATATGAAGTGAACATAAAGATGCAAAGGGCTGGCCACCTCAGATGTCTGTCAGGGCCCAGGAATTGAGAAGGCTGTGAGTAACAGTAATTCAGCACTTCCTTTTACCAGGCAACCACTGCAGAAGGCCCAGGGCTGCCTGAACTATAGGTAGCCTGACAGCTCAGGCCTGGGGAAAAGAGTATGCAACCCCACAGGAAGGCAAGTACACTGGCTGCTGTTCAGGACTTGGAGAACAGGAAGAATAGTTTCCAAGACCTTGGTTCACATAAAATGAAAAGCCATGGAGATTTAAAAGGCATCCCCCCACCTCCTATACAGGGGTTTAAACCCAGGGCCTCTACCACTGAACTGCATCCCTTACCCTTATCATTTTTTAAGACAGGGTCTAACTAAATTGCCCAGGCTGGCCTCAAACTTGCAATCCTCTTGCCTCAGCCTCCTAAGTAGCTGGGATTACAAACAGGTACCACTGCATCTGGCTAAAAAACAAACTTGGTAGAATTTTCACCAAGCAAACCAATTAGGGTGTGAAAATGCCAAATTCTTCCCAGCAAACTAAATGCAGCTTGACATCAGCACAGAGCAGCTAAGCCCCACTGTGCTCCTTTTTTGAATATATTTGTGAGTCAAATTGCCCTTCCTCTGAACAGCCCTGGGGCCATGGCCAACATCACCTTCAGCTGGAAATCTGTACCCTTCTCCAAGCAGTGGCATCAAATGGAGCTTGTAAAATATTGAGATTGGTATACAAAAAAAAAAAAAAAACTTGACAGAGATGATTTTTATCTTAAAAGAAAATGACTACCCATGAGGAATTGTGAAAAATAATTTTCTAGTCTCTGAGCAAACAGGCTGGAAACATCCTGTTTCTACAAGCAGCTCTTCACCAGTTCACCTTTGTCCTCTGCACGGGTCTTGCCATTTCTGAATAGGGGGAGACAATAGGTCTCAAGCTGCAGGAGTGACAGAGTTCTGGAAAGTGAGGCCCCCACCTCCAAACACATTTCCAGAAGTAAGAGAGCAGCAGGCTTAAAAATGTATATACTCTTTTGGCCTTTAAAAACAGCTATCTCCCCAGGGCAGAGTATGAGGTATTGCCTCTGCCCACCTTGATCCAACCAGGCCACACACACCAGCTGCCCTAAGCCCTAAGTGGGCAGGACTCTGGCCCCAGGTTTCTGGGGCACTTACCTTCCCAGTGTCCTCTCCAAGCACTCTGGGTCTCAGGAAATGGTTCTTGTCAGCCCCAGGGGTGCTGGGCTCTTCACTGTCCTTCACAGGAAAATCTAGCTTCCTCAGCCTTTGTGCCACCACTAGAGATAGACAGCAGCACTGTGACTGTCCCTGACCAGGGCACATCCCTCCCAAACCCACCTGCACTTCCCAGCCAGGATGCTCTCAGCTGCTCCAGTACTGCAATAGGAAGCCCAACAATCTATGAGGATATGGGCCCCTGTGCAGAAAAAGCCAGCTCACCCCAGAACCTTAAAGTGTCTCCCCCTCAGAAATCCTCACCATTGGGTTTAGGGCACCAGCTGGGGGTTCCTCACACCTTGGCTATACAGCCTACAGAACTCTGAACAAAGAGAAAAGACCTGACTCCTTTCAGAACTGATAATATCAGTTTAAGACAACTCTGGAGAAAGAAATGACTTGGCTTTTCTACCCAGTGAGTAATTAAACTTCATCCTCCAGATTTCCATCTCAACTGAACATTATGTAATTTCCTGGAAACAGCAGCCCTGTGGAGGCACACAGGGAATTGGAAGACTATTCTAGGTACAGAAAAGGACTGGAGACGTGTGAGAGAATAGGAGAGAGGAGCAAAGAACTGGATGGATGAAAGGAAGGCTATCACTTCATCTGCTAAATTAAGAACACTCAGTCTCCTTCACCATGCTATATCTAGGTTTTAAGGTTAAGTACCAAGAGAAAGCAAAATGTCTGAGGAATTTCAGGAAAAGGTGAGAGGAAAGGACAAGCACCCAACTGGTTTGGCCACCCTACCCAGCCATCCCTGGGAGAATGGAAACAATGTAATTTTTATAGGAAAGTACCAGACTTTCAGCTCAGTAACAACAGTGGATAAACACTGCAACAAGAAAGCCCTGAGACAGTGTAACCTTGGACCAGGGATGACATGTCTATTTCCCCTGGAGGTCTATGCAAGCACCCTGAATGCTTGCACAAGGCAGCTCAAAAGCTGTTGTCTCTGCTGATCCAGACAGTTGTCCAACAAAGACCCCAGCACTACCACCACAGTCCTGTGTTACAGTACTCAAGTGATGGTATTTCTGTGAGCTAAAGTCTGCCCTTTATTTCATCAAAGCCTCATTCAAAAACACACATTAATCTGTTTACTCTTTTGAAACAAGATGCATCTTCATATTCCTATCTTTTTGGCAGCACAGAGAAACAAGATCTGATCTCTTAAGCCCATGAGGGGTAAAACCCACACAAATTATAGAAATACCAAGGTGTTTCTCCATTATTGATGAGACATTTTTATTGGCATCAGTGTATGTGTGTATGTCTTGGCTTTCCTTTCCTGGAAAACCAAACAATATAAACTGCCTAGGATGAAAAGCAACAGCAATGTATGTTTAAGGCAATCAGTCAAATCCAAAAGTAACTACTGCCTAAGCTGTGGAACTGGAAAAGGGCCACATAAAGCTTGTTTCCTAAGAGTAGAAAACCTTAGATTTTGTCAGTGGGAAAATGAGACGGTCGTCAAGTACCTTTGATGACTTTGTTCCACGCATGCAACACAGAGGAGACTTTATAAATTCATTCATTGAACACATTTTTATTGAGCACTGATCCAGTCACTGGTGATAACAGAAGACAAAACAGACAAAAACCCTGCCCTCATAGAGCTCCTAGACTTTACATTCCAGTGAAATCAAGATGGGAAAACTAATCCTGTCTGGGTGCAATGGAACACACCTGTAGTTCCAGCACTTGGGAGGCTGAGAAGGAAGAATCCCTTGAGTCCAGGAGTTTAAGACCAATCTGGTCAACATTGAAAAAAAAAAAGTTAATCTGTGGAGAAAATGGCCAAGTTACTGGCCAAAGAACAATTATTCTAAAGAATAAATTCTTTTAAATTCAAACGGATTTCCTATTGTTTAAGTCAAAAAGAAACAATGAAGTCCCTAAGGGACCACCTAAAAAGAGAGACTCTGTTTTGCTCCATGGCCCACATTTCAGAAAGTAAGAACTCACGGTGTAGAGCAGAAAGATTATGCCCAGGGCTCTCCAGAGGGAGCCACAAGGTCATTTTAAAAGTCTACCCCAAAACAATGGCATTTCCAACCAAAGAGTAAAGCAGAGAATGGTTTCAGTGCAAATTTGTTTCAAGAATCAAGATAAGAGTCTCTCATATGTGGAATTAAATAAAGAGGAACATAACCTGTAGGTAATAAAACAAATAAGATCCATGACACTAAAATTAAAATGTTTATAACGTAACAGTTTACAATATTAAAATGTGAATGCAGAAAAAGATTTTTGCTTAGGAAAATATTTAATCCATGACACAAGAACACATAAAATGGAATCTTGTTACAAGGTCACTTGGCAGTATAAAATGCAGACAGATAATTTCTGATATAAATTCTGTTCTGTTTTCCTAAGGTAAGATAATTTGAAAATATTCAGTCAAAATTGGTTTCATGTAATAGTTATAAAGTACAAAATTTTATAGTTCTTGGGTCTTCACAAAACAGAACAGGCTCACAAGATTTAAAAGAGCTTGTGAATGAAATCAACAATTCAAAAAGCAAAACTAGAAATACCAAACTACTACAGCAAGATGCACTCAGAGAAAAATAAGTTACAGTAAAACCTCAGTAACTAAAACTTATTAGAGACAAAGTAAGTTTGATTAGGTGAAAAATGTAAATAAATTTACTAGAAAAATATTTAAATTCTCCATGAAACATAAATGTATATATTTCAAGGACAAAAAGTATATTGAATTTATCTGTGTGTGACCTATCAGAGATCGTATGGAAGGTATGTGATATAACTGAAAAGAATGACTGATTGGTAACTGGCATGTCAATTGGTAAATGGGTGTTTTCTAAAGAGAGCTTTAAAACTGTTTAAGTAGTTCTAACAGGTTTCCTTCTATACTATGAATTTGTTCAGCAAATACTTCAGCTTAACCCATTATCTTCAACTCTAGAATGAATTAATAAGGCTTTACTGTGAAAGTAGAAAAACAAACATTTCAAAAAGATTCTAGCATCACCTACACCAAAAAAATTAGCAAAGAAACTTCAGTTTGGAAAGCTACTATAGACAAAGAATGGGATGCTAATACTGCTGGAAGCAGAACCAGGTAAAGAGCAGGAAAATCCACACAGTATCATAGTAGTGGTTCCTACACTAATTTGAAAGACAAAACTGTAATCTTAAAATCAAACAGTAGAACTACTGCTTATTAGGAGGCACTAAAGTTAGTTTCTCAGGAAAGAAGAGAAAAATCTTTCAAGGCAGTCACAGTGGTGAGCTGTTGAAATTGTTAAGTTTCAACATCACGTTAGCAGCAAGATACATCCACACTAGGTTTCTAAATGACATGATTACAGTCAAAATCAAGGAAATAAAAATCAAAACAACCAAATACATTAACCCTGAGACTCCACATTCCCCTTTCATGTAAGACATTGATGCAGACCATCATAATCTAGGAAAATATGGCTTTTACTACATTCAAATTTCAATCTATCTCCCAATAGAGAGTTTGTAAATTATTCTAAATCATGTACATTTAACTTAGAAAGGTGGAGGATATACACATATATGTAAACACTAAAAGAATCACTCCACTTCATGTCTGAATCCAAACCCATCCAGCCTTTTTCCAGAATATTTAAAGTGGCTGGGGCCTGAATCAACATGAGATATAGAGTATCAGGAATTGGTCAATAAGAATGGCTTAAATAATTATCTCAACAAAGAGATGAGTGAAAAAACAATCCCATTCATCTTTAGAAAGAAGTCACTGAAATTTGATTTCTTCGAAGTTGCTGCCATTTGCTTGGATGAGATCTTGAAGGTTTTCCATTTTTTTCTCCACCCAGTTTAAGGACACATTGACTAGAAATCTGTGATAAGAATTTAGTAAAGGCTTTTCCCTCCTGTTCCTCATTATGCCAATGCAAGAACTGGAAAATTCCAAACAAAATCAGGTTAGTGGTACAGAAAGTTCATGAACAATCTACCTATATGAAGGTTAAGCATGCAACAATGATCCCAATGCATGAAACTAACATCCCACTATGGTCAGTTTCTTTACTCTTACAGTCTAATCAGGAGTTAAACTTTAAAGACTAAATAAAAGTCCAAACTAAAACTATTCTTGCCAATAAGAATCATAATCCTACCAAATCCTAGATGTGGAACTGGAAAAATGGATTGCTCACTTAGGAGAGAGTGGCAGGCCAAGAAGTTTCTAACCAAAGAAGGGCCCCAGCATTCCAGGAGCTCAGCACCCTCCCTCTTTGCCAACATGCTTATTACCCTTCCCACTTTCCACCCCTCACACAATAGAAATTAATCCCTCATTAATAAAAGTGTAAGCTTCAAGGCAGAAAATAAAATACATACCACTTATAGCTTCCTGTGCAAAATATTTGACATCCATGTCTTCATCCTGACCTAACTTCTGTAATACTGGCTTAACTTCTCCCTGCAAAGCACTAAAATTTAAAAGTATTATCTGTGAAAGGCAGTCTAGTGGGCCAGAGAAATCCTTTATTATGCATATGCTCCACAGTAATTTTTTTTCCTCTGAAGTCTAAATTTTTTTTTTTTGGTGGTACTGGGAATTGACCCAGGAAGTCTACCACTGAGCTACATCTCTAGTCCTTCCCCCCACACCCCCCATAAACGGGGTCTTGCTAAGTTGCCTAGGCTGGCCTCAAACTTGCCTTCTTGCCTCACTCTCTCCAGTATGTGCCACTGTGCCTGGCTAAAACAAAAACTATTTTAAAACACTTATAAACTTGACAAATACACTAAATAATATCTAAAGAAGTTCTCAGCAAAATTAGCTTTGGACAATGATCTACACATATACTAAGCTTAAATACAAAAGTCAGAGTAGACATCCTCAAATGGTTAATTATTTTCTTTAAACAAACTCATATCCTAAGTAAAGTGAAAATAATTTAATTTCAGCTATTATTACCTACTAGGTAAAAGTTAAAATGTACGTTTAAAACAAGAATAGCACTAAAATCTTACTTGGTATCAAGAATTGGTCCAATTTTTTGTAGCGATTTGGCCACATTGAAACGAACATTTGCTACTTGATCTCCTGCCATTTTTAATACAATGGGCAGCATTTGCTTAGTGGTTATTTCCTGACCACATGCTTCAGACAGTGCCTAGAAAAATAAATAAATGGCATACTTAAAACACTTAAAAAAAATCTAGTGAAACAAATTAATATTTAATAAGAAAGTGACCAACAAAAAAATACTTCTAGTTTCAGCATCTAAATGAGGAACACAAGGTAGCATTCAAAGAATCAGAGAACTAGACCAGAATTTACAACTAAGTTGCAACTATTAAAAAACTACTATAAATTTTAACATCAATTTTAAAGTCAACATTTTCTCTCATTTTCTAACTGTCCAAATTTAATCACGGTAAAAAACATATTCCAAATAGAAGACAGTACATATCAGAATTCAGAAATATACTTGTGAATAATTGCTTTCATGCCTGAGTTGATTAGTAATAGCTACATAATACTTACATTAATGCAGAATAAAGTGGTCATTCTATGCAAGTAATTAGGATCATTCGCCATTACTAACACTTTAGGAACGATGGTATTTTGGGCCCACTCTGTACCAAACTTCTGAACTAATTTCATGAGGTTGTTGGTAGCAGCTTCTCGAATGGCATATACTGCAAACAAATTGTCAGTCCTTACTTTCTTTTTTTTTAATAACCTTATTTACTTACATCAACATCAAACATGAGCCAAAACCAAAACCTCTCTACAAACAATACCCCAAATATACTCATACCACAATGATAAGCACTTTGGGCCACAAGTCATACTGATTTGCTATTACAGTTTCAAAATGTATATATTCAAGGAAAAGGGAAGCCAGAAACTCATGAGATGCATCATCAATTAATTAACAAATACAAGTGTCTACAAGGAGCTATGAGCTACAGAAAGAATACATCAGAAGGCTGGGGATGTAGCTTAGTTGGTAGAGTGCCTGCCTCGTGTGCACAAGGCCCTGGGTTCAATCCCCAACACCACCAAAAAAAAAAAAAAAAAAGAATACATCAGGTCAAAGATCACATACTCTTATCAGAGAAAGGAAAGCTAAGGCAATCCAAGAAATCACAAAGCATGAGACTGATTTCAGTGAAGTATGGTACTGTGTAGTAAAGACTGTAAGGACTATAGGGTTTAGAGAGGAGTGAACAGGGAAGTCTGAGACAGCTTGAGGAAAAGAGAGAGGCACTATACTGGGGCAGTGAAGATCAGGGAGGATTTGTGTAAACAGAAGAGCAGTAGAATTCCAGAAAAGGGAGGGCGGGGGAAGTACCCAAGGCACAAAGGAAAAAAACCCCCAATCTCTGAGTCTGAGTTTAGACAGTTAAGAATGGGCCCAGAACTTCTGAAAGCTAAATTTACTCTTGATAAACCAGATGACCAATGTAGTATTTTAGCAAGATTATCCAGAGTGGCAAGAAAAGCTGAGAGTACAAGGACATCAAGTAGAAAACTGGAGAGGTCACTGTGGTCATCTATACAAGAGCAAATAAAAATTTAAGATCAACTTGCTTCTTTTCCAATAAAAAGGTTTAAGGTCAGACAAGAAGTCAAATATCTTCTGATAAATATGCCTACTTTAAGGGCTGGGGATGTGGCTCAAGTGGTAGCGTGCTCGCCTGGCATGCGTGCGGCCTGGGTTCGATCCTCAGCACCACATACAAAACAAACATGTTGTATCCGCCGATAACTAAAAAATAAATATTAAAAAATTCTCTCTCTCTCCTCTCTCACTCTCTCTTTAAAAAAAAAATATATATATATATATGCCTACTTTAAAATCTAATGACCACCTATAAAATCATTTATTGAACACATAATCATAAATCTAGATCATCTAGGTCTGAGATACTACCTTCTCACAATTAGTTGGTATATGCAGCCACAAACAAAGATAAACCTCTGTGTCACTTCATTTCACAGGTCTGCTAAGACTCAAAATTTGAGTTTAGATAACAAATCAAGAGTAGTAGGTAGTGATTCCTTATTCTCTTTCTGTCTCCAGGCCCAATCTTCAAGGTAAGATATGAATGGCTAACCAAGCCACAGCCCTGAGCACAGATAATTTATACAGGCCTCCAGAGAAGAATATGGAACTTTTCCAAAGTCTATAGATCCTTCTAGGCAATGATGTTGAAACAAGCAAGACAGAATATACAAATCACTATACAATTTCTTACCAATGCTTAAACTGACCAAAGACTCTGGGAGAAGCAATTTATCAAGAACATTCAGAAGTACATAGGAGCAAGCTCAAGTCAACCTTTTTACACAAAAGATATTCTTTCGGTAATATCCAGTCTTTTAAGCCCAAACCCCTCCTATGCCCTTTCCTCTAAGGTGGAGCTAACTAGAACATCTACTTCTCCTCTAATTCCTGTTTTTTAATGTATTTTGAGATTTTTCTCATCACAATGCCATTACCATAGGAAGGGATCACACTGCCAGAGTAACCAGAAACCAAGCACACAAATACTCAGCCCTGACTAAGGCCTTAACTGCATTCAACTCTACTTGGCCAGTTCTTATGTTCTACTATGTTCTTATTTTTTCTTGATTTTGTTGACAGAAGAATGCAAACCATTCTATAATTCTGTTTTCTCCCCTTGTCTGCTCTTTCTTGCTCTCTTTCCCCTTAAGGTACAGTTGATCAGTAACGTTTCTTCATATGTCTAATTCAATCTATGCTCACCAACATTGATTCTTTTTTCCTTTCTCCTATAAAAAATATAATTTTCCTTATAAATCCCTCCCTCTGATCAATAGTGACCACTTAACCATAGGAACATTGCTTAATCACACTTTTTTTTCTTAAAGTTCTCTGGATTTTCCACAATATTCTTTTAATAATTTAATAACCAGGAAAAATGTTTTTAAAAATCTAGATGATCAGTGATCACTACATAATACTTATCTAAAATGCAAAAGCAAAGTTTTTCTTCAAGTTATAAAACACACTAAAAATTCTAAAATGAAATGCAAAAGCAAAAGAACAGAAAACTCTTGTGATTACCAGTAACTCACAGAACATTTTCAGAATGGCCATATCACTGGTTCAAAGAATGCCTACGTCCCCACTTTGGTATTCTGCTACAGGAAAATAAACAAGGGTCTCTCCAGCTCCCAAATTGGAAAAAAAAAAAAAAAAAACCCAAAATGAGAAAGAAAAGCTGAATTATACACAGGTACAAGCCTACATAGAATATGTGTCAAAAAATCTGATTCTTGCCAAACGTACTAGCACACACCTATAATCCCAGTGGCTCAGGAGGCTGAGGCAGAGGATGGTAAGTCCAAAGCCAGCAACTTAGCAAGCTCCCTAAGCAACTTAGAGAGACCCTGTCTCTAAATAAATGTGAAAAAGGGCTGAGGATCTGGATCAGTGGTTAAGTGCCTCTGGGTTCAATCCCTAGTACAAAAAAAAAAAAAAAAATTGATTCCTCAAGGAATACTTTAAAAACTGTCTTAATCTAGAATGCCAGCTTTCAAAGGAAGTATAGAATGATCGGCTGGGACACACCATTCCCACTAATAAAAAAATATTTATCAGAAATAATATAAACACTTTAAAGTTTTAAAGAAAACAGGAATTACTTTCCTATAATTTGCAAAATTTAAGTTTTATTTTAAAAGAAAAAAACAGGCCATCTAAAGAAAACTTTAGAGAAAAAAGTATTCATCATCTATATACATATATGTGTGTGTGTGTGTGTGTGTGTGTATGTGCCCTTACAGATTGTCACATATTTTTAACACCCTTCCTTTTTTTTTTTTTCATAACTTTTAGCCATATGATCTCCCATATGATACAAATATGCTCTTAACAAAACCAGCTACCTGCGGTATCCTCATTCCTCCCAAATAAATACACAGCACTCACAGATAAACTCAATACACAGATAAAGCACATATAGAACACTGCATAACTGATACAGAATGCTTATAATGTCCACCAAAATACAGAACCAAAGCTCACAAGACAATGTCACATAAGCACTCAACAGCATTCACCGAATCAGGTTTAAAGCTACAACAAAGTGGCCAAATTTGGATCTGGAACCTAGGTGGCACACAGATTATATCTGCTACCCACTGCTACCTAGCAGACAAGAAGATATGTACATATACATCTACTTGAGACCTCACCAAAAGTCAGCTACTCATTCCTCTATTTTGTCTAACTTGCTCTGAGCTCTCCCTCTCTTAGCATCATAGCAGTATCAGCCAGAGAGCAAACAGGAAACCTTCCTTTCACCCCAAAGAGAAATCCAAGCTCTCTCTATCCCAGGGAACAGGTAATGTCTCCCAGTCCTAAGAATTCTGTACTATAGCGTCTTATCATGTATCTCCTTCTCTATATGTTACCTCAGAAAAATCAAGTAGTCATTTCTTCCCACCCAGGTCTTCCATCTGATTTCAATCCCTGTCTAACCTATAGTTGCTGAATGGCAGCATGGCAAGCAGAAGACCCTAGGATAAGAAAGGAATAAGTATATACACAAGAGTCTGAAGATGACACAATCAGATGAGTAAGAAATACAGCAAAGAGCCAGGCACAGTGACACACACCTGTAATCCTTGTGGCTTGGGAGGCCGAGGCAGAAGAATTATGAGTTTGAGATGAGACCCTGTCTCATAATAAAAAAATAAAAAGAGATAGGGATCTGGCTCAGTGGTTAAATGCCTTTGGGTTCAATCCCTAGTACAAAAGGGGGAAAAAAAAAATAGGGCAAAGAAACTGTTTAATGGAAAAAATAAAGGTAAGATAGAAAAAAAATAATAATAAAGTAAAAATGTCACATTTGTATTCTGAGAAAGCTAAAAGGAATTTAATCAAAGACTTTCTTCACCACTACATTGTTAAGACAAAATTCTTGGTCAGAGCAGGATTCCTTTCTAAAGCAAAGTATGTGAACATGAATGGGATATATGCAAAAATCCTAGAATTACCATAATAATGTTTTTAACTTGTCTACTCACCATGATCCACAAGCCAGGCCATACATAAAGAATTCAGCTTCTCATCAAAAAATTCCACACCCTATGGATACAGAAGATTCCATTAACACACATCTCTGAAGTTTAGAAATTAAGATGTTCTATTATAAAGATTACCTGAATGATTTAAAAAACAAAAACAAAACTTGTTTTCCAATAAACTGAATTCATGAAACCACCATAAAAAGAAAACCATGGAATTTACTAACTATAAATCTATTTTACTGGATAAAAATTATAAGAGAAGCATAAATGAGATGGTACAGGCTTGCTAAACAGGAGAGAAGAGAGTATTCAGAGGGCAGACACTATACTAGAGAACAGTAGGAAGAATGCAATGTAGATAGTCTATGAAGCAAAATTCATTTGTAAAAAATAAATTACCCAGGAAAATATCTGTCAATATAACTCTTACTTATCTTCCCTTTTTGGTTAATACAACCAATTCTAGGAATTGGCTATCCTCAATTAAAGAGACTATTTCTGGGATGATGGGAGAAAGTACTGGAGAGAGAATAAAGCAGGAACAAGAATAGAAGGCTCCAGCGTGAAGTCGCAAGTAGAACCATGCTGGCTTTCCCATCCCTGCTCCTCTTATTAATGGGGCCACCTCAATACAGGCTGGGGAAAAGCTTTAGGAGCTGATTTACACAGACCTCTTGCCCTGGCTTCATACCACATGGGTAAGCACTATAATAGGTACTTTACTGGTGATTACCTTCTGAGGTCTACATGTTTAGACTTTTGGTTTTTTGAAATTCCTAAATGAAAATTCTAGGAATGAAATTCCTGACCAGTGATGAAATATTTTAAATAAAGAGATATAATTTAAAAGTTCTGGAAACGGTGATTGATTCTGGCAGACACTAAGATTACCATAAAAGTTCTCAAAAGTTCTTCATCGTGTACAACTAGAAGAGTGAGGAAATTTTTAATTTCAGGTAGAGGATTTTCCTTCAGTCTTAACTTAATTTAATTAACTTTTATTTCCTGGTATTTGTGCTTTAACTTTATATTTACTCACTATGGTCTATAAGCCAGACTATGTATACAGTCTTGAGAGAATTTTATGAATTGACTAAATGATTTTTAAAAATCTTTACACAAAAAGAAAAATTAAGGACAATATACATAATAACAAAAGATTGAAATTGTTAAACAAAACATCCATGACTGACTGACGTATGTCACTCTGCCAGACAGGCATCATTAGTCTTACTTCTATACTGTTCTGTACAGTTAGCAGCCCTTAGAGACTGCAGGTCTAGGGGAAGCAGGGGTTTAAAGAAATGGCACTAAAATTCAACCTCCTTCCTTCAGTTTTCAGCAAACCCATTAGCTGCTTTCCACCCTGGAGAATGATCCATGACAGTCACCAGCAAAGAACAGAAAACGCCCCTCAGCATTTGGAAGTAATAGTGGAAAAGGGTGACAGAAGTATCTCACCCTATCAGATATGCTGATATGTGCTGGGCACAGTGCCACATACCTGTAATTCCAGCAACTCCTGCTAAGGCAGGAGGATTGCAAATTTGAGGCCAACCTCAGCAATTTAGGGAGACCCTAAGCAACTTAGCAGGACCCTCTCTCAACAAAATAAAAAGGACTGAGGATGGAACTCAGTGGCAAAGCACCCCTGGGTTCAATCCCCAGTACCAAAATATTTTTTTTTTTTTTTAATATGGGTACCAGGTATTGAACTCAGGGGCATTCAACCACTGAGCCACATCCCCAGTCCTATTTTGTATTTTATTTAGAGACAGGGTCTCACTGAGTTGTTTAGCACCTCACTTTTGCTGAGGCTGGCTCTCTGAACTGCTATCCCCCTGCCTCAGTCTCCTGAGCCACTGGGTGGCATGTGCCACCGTGCCCAGCCAAAAAAATTTTTAAAAAGATATGCTGATTACTACAGTAACATAGCCACATCAATGTTTTATAGCAGCTCAATTCACAATAGCCAAACTATGGAACCAACCTAGATGCCCTTCAACAGATAAATGGATACAGAAAATGTGGTATATATACCCAATGGAATATTACTCAGCCTTAAATAAGAATGCAATTATGGCATTTGCAGGTAAATGGATGGAGCTGGAGAATATTGTGCTAAGCAAAATAAGCCAATCCCCCAAAACAAAAGCCAAATGTTTTCTCTGATATGTGGATGCTAATTCAATAAGGGGGTGGGGACTACGGAAGAATTGAGGTACTTTGGATAAGACAGAGAGGAGTGAAGGGAGAGGAGGGGAAATGGGAGTAGGAAGGATAATAGGATGAATCAGACATTACCCTATGTACATATATGATTACAGGACCAGTGTGATTCTACATCATGTACAACTAGAACAGTGAGAAGTTGTACTCCATTTATATATGATGTGTCAAAATTTGCATTCTACTGCCATGTATAACTAATTAGAACAAATTTTTAAAAAAAGATATGCTGATATCTTTGTCATCCAATCAGAAGAGGGACACTTCAAATTTTATAAAACAACATGCATGTTCATATACTACATGTACCAAAATCAGCAATACAAATTCAGTGGTCTAAGAAAAGAATAAACCCCATACATTGGGATCTGAAAATAATGGAAATAGGACTGGGGAAGTATAAACTGGTCTAATGTCAGCAGAACAGGGACATATATCATGAGTTTTCCCAAGCTTATTTATTCAACAGTCGACAAATGTTAAGAGCCTAATGAATTACAAGAACTACAGCAGCCACTAAAAATGAAGCACCAAACAGAGCCCCTTCCCTAAAATAGATCATTTTCTCCTCAACTAGATTTTAATAGTTATAATACACTGTAATAAATGCTACCAACACAAGTAAGAGTATATCAAACTTAGAATTGTCTAGAGCACCTACTGAAGAAGAAAAAAAGCAATATGGCTATAAAGTCCAGCTTTGACATTTTGATTACAGTAATATCAGATTAAAACTAATCATGAAATTCAAACAAAAAGAGATAATATGATAATATAGGCTTTGGTCAAAATAACTAGCATTACAAACTTTTCTATGTGGTGGTGATTCCTTAGCTCCCTTAATCAGAACAGAAAAGTGGTTCTTAGGGGTATTTTTCTTGGTATATAGACAAACAGGGAAGCTGCCTTGAACAAAAAGTTAAGCTGACTTATCCTGAAATCACATTTCCCTTTTCTGTTCATTAGTCCTTATGTCATACAGGTATTAAATATGACAAAATTTGTATATACACCAAGAAATTTATTATATCCTTCTATAGCTTTGCTTTTAGATAGCAGCAAGGTGAAATGTGTTTCTATAATACCCTTTTTATTAGAAGCTAATACAATAATGAAAACAAAAGAATATCCTATAAGCAACAAGAACCAGATTACACTCTCATGCATCTAAATGAACAGAATCAGATAGGCCTTTAGGGCCTTCTACTTGCCATAGTTAATCTCTATTATTTAATGCTACCATCTGGTTCATGAAGCACATATACTCACCAGCTGGCCTGCCAGCAGTGGCATATACTCAATGATGGCCAACCGGACCCGCCACTTGGCATCTTCAGCCAGTTCCACTATGGCAGGAAGGAGAGACTGAGAGAGCTGACGGATTCCAATCACTTCATTTACACAATCCAAATTGGAGATGATATTCAAACGAACTTCAGGACACTATATAAATACATAAGTCCCCAAAAACCACATATAAACATTAAGTCTTCTGTCTTAAGTTCTACTGTCATAATGTAAAAACTACTAAAGCAAATTTTAAAACTATAAAGTACTGAATCAAATAAAAAAAATGTATAGGGGTAGGGTTGTAGCTCAGTAGCAAAGCACTTGCCTACCATGAATAAGGCGATTGGCTTCATCCCCAATATCATGAGGAGTGTGGGGGATAGACTGAAAAGAAATACTAAATACTGAGTCACAAATAATTCAAGACACATAAATGCAACTGATCTGAACCAGAACTTTCTATGAAAAATCCATAAAATGATAAAGAATACAGGTTCTAGAATTAAATTAAATATATTCAAATCTCAGATCTGCCATTGCTGAAAAACCTGAGGCAAGTTATTTTAAGATCTCTGGCCCTCAGTTTCCTCTATAAAATAGGAATATTATTAAGATTATAATAGGGCTGGGGATGTGGCTCAAGCGGTAGTGCACTCGCCTAGCATGCGTGCAGCCCAGGTTCAATCCTCAGCACCACATACAAACAAAGATGTGTCTGCCAAAAACTAAAAAATATATATTAAAAAATTCTCTCTCTCTCTCTCTCTTTTTTAAAAAAAAGATTATAATAATCTCATAATACTGTGAGGATTACATGTAATAAAACAGGATCATACCTGGCACATATTAATTACTTAATAAATGTTAGTTATCGTTATAATTTCTGATACTGTAAAATTAAATAAAACATTTTAAATCAAAGATATATTAACTTAAAGAAACCCATTTTAAGAGATCCCTGTCCCCATTTCCTGAATAATCTGTAACCCCAGATCCCAACAGCTTTAAAATAAGTTATATAGCCAGGCTCTATGATGTACACCTATACTCCCAGCTACTCAGGAGACTAAGATAGGAGGATAGCCAAGTTCAAAACTAGACTGGGGGACTGGGGCTATAACTCAATGGTAAAGCACTTGCCTCACATGTGTGAGGCACTGGGTTCGATTCTCAGCACCACATATAAATAGATAAATAAAGTTCCATCAACTACTAAACAAATATTTAAAAAAAAAAAAAAAAAAAACCACTGGGAAACTTAGCAAGACTGTCTCAAAATAAAAAATAAAAAGGACCTGAGGTGTATCTTGATGTGCCCCTGAGTTCAATCTCTAGTACTGAAAAAAAAAAAATTTATAAAAAGTTTCCATAGTTTCACATGCACAAGGCCGTGGGTGCAATTCCTAGAACCACAACAACAACAACAAAAAAAATCCATAGTTTGGTTCCTATTTTCGTGAAACCCAATGCCAAAATCACATCCTATTAATGACTATCAGAAGCAAGAAAATTTATAGCCAGACTTACCTCATCCTTTAACTGAGCTAAAAAAAGAGGTAGAAGATGTTCAATTGTATTTTCTTTGCCCAAAATGGTAGACAATCCCATAATTACAGAAGCTAGAGCTGATTTGACATGTTGATTGGTATCAGATACTAATTCCTAAAATAAAATCAAAATGAAGTCTTTTATGCAAGATAACAGAACCTCCATACCATCTCCCAAGAATTTTAAAGACAACATTATTTCAACATAGATTAATTAGTTGACATTTTATCAGATCATCTGTTAAGCAAGAGATCCAACTAAAATGCTCTAAGTACCAAACAGTATTTTAAAATTATAATAAATAAAGACAAGTGATAAATAATATCATAAATTAACATATCTGCCCATTCATCCCTTACCCACCTTTTAAACTCCAAGAGCTTTAAGGCAAAAGAAAAACAAAACTGAAGTAAGGTTTAATTTAACTTCATATAGGGCAGAGTGAAACAAAATAAACTGACATTATAAGTACCTTTATATAGGGTAGAACTTGATTCATAATTATGGTCTCTCTACCTTCAATGGGCAAGTTCTCACAAAGTTCTAAAAGAGAAATAGAAAAAAATAATGCTTTCATAGAACCTTTTATAGTCAAATGATGAAATTTAACAGTTGCAAGTTCAATCAAATCATAGCAAATGACTCTTATTTTAAATGCAGGTTGTCTATCATCTTTATGCCATTATGTATCAAATACAAACCTAATCTTTAAGTGCATTTTTATAGAAACAAGACAAAATGATTGTTTGGCTTAAAATATAAAAAAGCAACTTTATATGACAATATGACATTTTCACACAATGAATCATCTCTATTTGAAACCTATTCTAAAATAAAAAATATGTATATTCACAGGCATTAAAAAAAGCACTAAAATGAATAATACATAACACATGTTGCAACACAAATTAAATTCCTTAACCTTTTACTTTGTGGGCAGCAGCTGCTCGGACTTCAGCTTCACAGTCTTTAAGTAGGTTCTGAAAGGCGGGGATGAGGTCATTTAAGGTGATTTTGGGACCCACTGCTTTCTGGAGCTATAAAAGAATTTTTACTGGTTTTAATATACCAACAAAATAATGAATAGGAACAAGACAGTGCAATGTTCAAGTATATACTTTTGTCATACTATCCATTCAAAAGAATTAATTCACCAACTTTTTATGTAACAGCAAACCTGTGAGTTTTTTTCTTTTATTTTTTTAATACTTAAAAATGCCAGTCTAGTCATTTTACCTCTGAAAATTTGTCAGCTACCATATAACGCACTCGCCAGGATTTATCTTCTACTGCTTGTCGAAGTGTAGGCATTACCAAGGCCTCAAGGTCATCCTGAGACAATAACTGGGCAATACTAACACAAGCTTCCACAGCTAGGAGGCGCACTGAATCCTAAAGGAACAAAAATTTTCTATTAGTACACCAAGAGCCATGGAGCACTGTGTGTGGTGTGAGGCAGTGCTGCTGTATTTGAAAAAAAAGAAAAATAAGCAACTAAAATAAATAAAACATGTAAAAGACATAAAAATAGAAATGACTTTATTCTAAAGTGAAAAGAAAATTACCTATGCTGGAATAGTTTTTATTAAAGAAAATAAAATGTAAATATTAAGTGGAAAAAATATTTTAAAGATGTCTAAAAATGAAAATTATACTTGCATAACTTATAACAGAAATCACTTAGGAAGTTCAATTTTCAAAATATTCAGTTTGAAGTGGCAATAAGAAAAATTTAGGCATGAGATTGTGATTTGGAAAGAAACATACAGAACAAATGAAGTTAGTACCAAAAAGAATGGATTTTATATGTTTTTTTGTTTGTTTGGTTTTAGTTTTAGTACCAGGGATTGAATCCAGGGGTGCTTAACCACTGAGCCACATCCCCAGCCCTTTTTTATATTTTATTTTGAAACAGCATCTCACTAAACTCAAGATCCTCCTATCTCAGCCTCCCAACACACTGGGATTACAGGCATGTGCCACAGCACCCAGTGGAATTTAAATGTTGAGAATCAAAGACAGACTCAGCTGGGAGGTAACCATGTCTAGAAAGACACAGCAGAAAGTATTAGAAAGGTATGGGATTAATGAACTCGGTTTTCCAATGTAAATGCCAAATGTGAACGTGACACATCTTTTCTCTGAGCAAGTGGAAATATACAATTAAAACTCAATTAGAGGGGCTGGGGTGGAGTGTGCGCCTGGCATGCATGAGGCACTGGGTTCAATACTCAGCACCACATAAAAACAAAATAATGTGTCCACCTAAAACTAAAGATACATAAATAAATAAATAAAAACTCAAAGAAGGGCGTGGTGGTGCATGTCTATAATCCTAGCAATTCAAGAGGCTGAGGCAGAAAGATTGTAAATTCGAGGCCAGCTTTAGCAACTTATTAAGGTCTTAAGGAACTTACTGAGACCCTGTCTCAAAAAATAAATAAATAAAAAGTAAAAAAGGACTGGGGATGTAGCTCAGTGGTAAAGCACCCCTTGGCTTAATCCCCATTAAAAAAAAAACAAAAAAAAAAACTGTAGATCAAAAATAACTGACTGTATGTCTAAGACATACTCATTCTTCTATAAGAATGAGTAAAAAAGTTAAAAAAAAAAAAAAGCAGAACTATTCTTGGTCATTGTTATGGAGGCATTTTTGAATTTTAAAAAAGATGCTAAATTAAGGAACCACTGACATCTATTAAAATATATGTGCACAAATATTTGTTAATCTGTTAATCACTTCTCTTCCAGAACTTCTGATTTCCTCTTCCACACCTATTTCTCCTTCCAGACACTTCTCCATCTTAGCAATGACACCACCATCTAGAACATCTTGATTCTTCTTCCCTTCATCCAATGCAACAGTATTAAAATATCGTGTCCACCTCCAAACCTTATATGGAGATCCTCTCCATCTTGACTATTACCACCTGAGTTCACAGCCATCATCTCTTGCTCCCATACAAAATGACAACTGTAAGTGTATTAAGTACTTTATTTAGGTGTTTTCTATTTTTATTACTATTTCTACTACAATGAAATCTAAATCCTTGGATTTAAAATTGCTATTATGCAAAGCAATGCCATATACTAGTGAAAAATCAAATAGCACATTCTATGCTTATTTATCTTAAAGTCAAAATTCCAGGAAACTTTATTCCCCCATCTCACAATACAGCCAATTTCCAAAGGCATATTATCCCTTGATACAGTTTTGGTCTTCCTTTCTAATTAGGACTCCCCTTTCCACTTTGCCTCCTCCTTCTTTTAAAGCTACCAATACAAGAGAGAAAAATTATGGTCTGGTTAAGAAAGAAACATAAGGACACTCAGATAAGCTAGGATTAAGGACAGAATTAAGTATTAACTTTGCAAAAAAGAATCCTAACGTAAGAATCAAAACTACTCAAAAGAAATGTTTAAGATGTTGGAGGAGAGGAACATATCTGTGTTCCTTTAATACTAAAGAGTTAATGTTACCTGTTCATCTGAAGCTAGATTAGTGAACAATGGAACAATTTCAGTTTTCACACTGTCTAATTCCAAAACTTTCGCAAATTCACCCAATTTGGAAGCAGCAGCTCGTCGTACCATTGGTGTGTCATCTGAGCACAAGGAACGGAAGTGCCTGCAGCACAAAATAATGAAAGCATTTTCTACCATATACTCTCAATTGAATATGCCTCCACACAGACATTTTAAAGGTTTTACTTCACAAATATCAGTAATTAGGTTCCTACTCATAGAAGTAACAAAATAAAAACACTAGTACATTCAACTTGATGATAAAAATGATGCCATCATTTCTACTATCCTGGTATTGGCAACTCACTGGTAACAGAGTACTGTGTAAGTTGTCAGCCATGTGTCCCCAAGAGCCCCAAATGTTTTTCTAAAAAATGTGATATCTTACTGTCTAATTTCCGCCTTGACAACATTTGAAGCCCTGGGATAGCAAACGCTGAACAAACCACAAGCAGATGTTCGAGAAGTAAACCAATCCCCACTTGCTAGGCGTTTCACCAGAGGTACAAAATGAGCTTCCAGAGCAACAGGAGTATGCTCCTGGGAGATCTGCCTCAGGGACTCCACAGCCTTGTCTCGAACAACAGTCTCTTCCACAGTCGCCAGACTTTCCAAAGGAGGCTGCATAAATCATAAAGGAAAACCAGAGAAGAAAACTTAAATGAATCACATTAAATACAAATTGTCACCTTTAGTGTGACTAAAGGGAAGTGGTACATGTAACCAGAATGTTAGCTATATCATACCAAATGGTTACTTTCAGTTCACACAGTGATAACATATGGTGTGGCCAACCTGAAGACACGACTTCTGTAGGAAAGCCAAGATCCCATGTCCCAGATGGCAATTCCCAGATGGTGTCTACAAATGACACAGTGGAAGAGACTTGACACAATATTAATAATATTTGGAGCCAAATCACTAGATTCAAATGATACATAGACAAATTCAGACAAGTTTGTGTATATTTCCTTGACCAACATTGGGCACCAAGATTACATGATGACATCATGTCAGGTCACTGAGTCCATGGTCTTTTGAGCACTATTCTATCATTCCTGGATATGCAAGCAACCCTGTCTATGGGCTCCACACCATCAATTCATTTAACCTATAAAGGCTCATACAAAAACCACTTTTGGGGTTGGGGTTATAGCTCAGTGGCAGAGCACTTGCCTAGCATGTGTGAGGCACTGGGTTCAATCCTTAGCACCACATACAAATAAGATAAAGGCATGCAGTTCATCTACAACTACAAAAAATTAAAATTAAAAAATCACTTTTTTCAGAAAATATTCAGAATCTTTCCATGAGCAAAGGGCAAGAGCTTCTCACAGATCAATCAAGTGAAGAGTAGAGCTGGGAGATGACCTTTCTTGCTGCTTTACAGAAGAGAGCAAAGGGGTTAATAATCTGGACTAGCGTTAGTAAATAAATATGACATAACCGAGTGAAAAAGTAAAAGAGAATCTATGAAACACTGCCTTCCTGGGTTTATATCTAGTCCAAGTAAATTCAGGATACACAAGCTGCACATATTAAAAACACAAAACCCCACACAGAGCGCGTTGATCAACAAAGTGAACAGAAGAATAAGGACTCTATGTCTGCCAAGTAATATATTTCAAAAGTTGTTTGATATACAGAGGTAGACAGTACTCAGCTTCCCTAGAGGATATATCAGAAGTCCTCTAAAAAATATTTTACTTGCTAGGGTCTTTCATGATCTGGCCTCTGTCTATATTACTTCCTCACACACAATACCACTAGTTAAATCTCTATCACTACTATAGAATAAGGCCAAACTCTACAGAACCATTTGTGAGTTGTTGCTTAATTTGAACTCTGCCCACTTCTCCATGTCCTTTTCCTCCTGGCTCCTGACTACCTGCTTATTTCTAGCCCCAACTCTTCATTCTCCAGAAGTTTTGTTTTTTGTTTTGTTTTGTTTTTTTGAGGTAGACAGGGTACCGGGAATTGAACTGAGGAGCACTCAGCCACTGAGTCACATTCCCAGCTCTATTTTGTACTTTATTTAGAGACAGGGTCTCACTGAGCTGCTTGGCACCTGGCTTTTGCTGAGGCTGGCTTTCAATTGGCAATCCTCCTGCCTCAGGCTCCTGAGCTGCTGGGAGCTGCACCACCATGTGCACCACCATGGTCGGCTCTCCAGAAGTTTTGAACCCAACAACTTTCACAAATCCAAGTCTACAAAACTCATTCTTTCAATACGCAATTATTGTTATGTTCTAGCACTGAAGATACAGAAGAAATATGTGAACAGGTTCCCTACTCTAGGGAAGTTTACATTCTAATGGAGGAATGACAATCAATCAGTTGGTAGGTAACTGATACTCCATAGAGAAACAGAATAAAGAAAATACTTAAGAGTAAGTCTTAAGGCAATAATTAGCTTGGTTTATTTGAATAAAAAGAAGACCAATGTGACTGGAATGAAGTTATGAAGAGGAAGCATGATATATGATAAGCCTATAGAGGCAGGTCACAGAAAGGTCTTTTAAGCTAAGGAGTTTGGATTTTACTGGAACCACAGCAGAGTGACACATATGTTAGGTGAAAAATAAACTGAAGAAGTGGGAGGGAATAGTGGAAGGAAACTACAGATGCACCTCCACTTCCAAAGGAATTATCCCAATAAACCCATCATAAATTGAAAATACCTTGAATATACCTAACCTACCAAACAATCACAGTTCAACCACACTGTAGAGAATCAGTTATGTACCCTGATCATGTGGCTGACTAGGATCTGTGATTTACTGGGTTTGATCTCTAGCACTGAAAAAAGAAAAAGAAAAAGAAATCTACATTTTGGCTTGTGTAGCTGGGTGATATAGTGATGATATTGTGGTGATATAACTAAATAAGAGGCATATTTGTGAGGAAAAACTGAGTTGTTTTAGGCAGTTAAGTTTGAAGTATCTATTTGACATTCAAGTAGAAAAATCACAGGCAGACATACTTAGAAATACATATATATAGTACATATCTAACTGATCTGTATAAATCTATACTTGTCTATTAATCCATTTATCTCTGGAGTTCCATAAAATGGTTACATGTTGAAAAAAAAAAAAAATCACAAGAGCCAGCATCACATAGACAATATTTAAAGCTCTGAAGCATACATCCCTACCTCATCTAACTGCTGACCTCGTCTAACTGCTGAACTCCTAGTCATCCTTTAAAACCTAGCATAGACATCATTTTCCAAGAAGTCTTCCGGGAGTGGGAGGGAGGGAATAGTAGAAGGAAACTATAGATGCTAAATTAATCCCCTTTTGCTATTACTTGGGTACTTTACATGTGTTTATATTTTCCAATTTAAGACTGTATAGTAATAATTTGTCTACACATAATGACAAAACCCTCATTCGATTCATACTGGTTTTATACTATAACTTACAATGTGCCTTACACACTAGGCTTTCATAAATGTTAACTAAATAGAACTTATCAAATTCACAAAGTCAGAAGCAAAAGTTACAAGAACAATTAAAGACAAAATGTTGCTAGATGAAAATTAAGGCTTCCAATATGGGGAAAACAATCAAATCTTTTTCCTCCCCTCCTCTACACTAGTAAGTTTATAGAAGCATAAAGGTGAAGTTTTTATATTCAGTCAGAAAAATTAAGAAATTATTTATTCTCTCAATGGCTAACATTATGATTATGCACCTATAAAATGATCTGCATAAAAAATGCTGATGTGTCTATCACCAAACAATGTGTCATTTATACCACAAAAGTTCTAGAAGGAGGATAGGCAGGAGATAAGTACTTACCAGCAGACAGTGGGCAAAATCAGGACCTCCCACTAGGCCAGTAAAATTTCCCAGCTGCTCAGCAAGAGCTAACAGTACCTCATCTTCATCATAAATTGTATCTGGAAATGACAACAACCAGACACTCATCAATAAGAATAGATGGATGGCCCGAGCAGGACACACACAAAAACAGAAACAGATTCAACATGTACATAGTAAGATGGTCTAGTCAAAATCCTAACAGCATTTTCTTCATTCTTTATCAATAGTCTTCATGAATATGTTTTACAGAACTAAAAAATCATACTCCCAGATCAGTTACTTTCCCACTAGCTGAATGAGTAATGTTTGAATATACCTAGCTATTAACATTACAATATGTTTTATTTCTTTCGCACAGAAAGCACCATGATCAATTTTGTACTTAATGATATGCTGGGTAACAAACTCTAAAAAAAAAAAAAAAAAAAGTTTTGAAAGTCACTGGAAAACAGAATGTCCACGCCTTTCTTTAAACAAAGACACATACATACCTGTAAGGAATGGCAGCAGTTCAGTTCGGGTCCTTTCTACTCCAAGTGCTAGAGCAATTGTTGATAATTTCTTAATACTGTTGAGACGGAGCTTTAAAAAAGAAAATGGAAATAAGAACAAACTAAGAAATGACTGCAATTCAGACCAAAAAACAAAAGGGGCAAACAGGTGAAATGAGGGCATGCGGGTATAAAAATAAAGATTTCCTAGGCAAAACACTGAAGAGCCCATAAGAGAAAGGACTGAATGAAAATACTCAAGAACTGAGATAATTTTAAAAAGAACAAACTCTGGCAGTAGTGAAGCACATGAAACGGTTGAATACACCTGCCTTTTCAAAGAAAAATTTCATCGCAGCTGATACACCGACTCATCTGGGTTAATCAGCCATCCCTACCTTCTTCCACCCAACAAGCCCGGCCAGTTTCCAAAACCGAGGAAGGCATTACACTGAACTTCAAAGGGCCCCTTGGCATCCTGAGACCCGCAGGCCGCCCCAGTCGCTCGCGACGGCTCATCCACAAGACGCCGGCCCAGCGCTGGACGCGGCGTAGCACGGAAGGAGCACGGAGACGGGAAGCCGGCTGTCCGACGGTCGCCAGGCACTGACGGGCACCAAGCCAACGCCTCACAGACCCGGGGAAAGGGTGCGGGAGAGGTCCCAAGGACGGTCGGGAGCGGCCATCATAGACCCCCGAGAGTCCTTCCTCGCCTCCCCCTCAAGTTTCTGCTCCGAGTTCGGTCTCTCAACCCGTGGGCCTCCACCATCGCGGGCGCCAACCACACGCCCTGCTGGGCCCACCTCAACTCCCCGGCCTCAGCCCATTACCTGCACATCCTCATTGCGGAGCTCGTCGATTAAAACTGCGATCGGGTATAGCGAATCATCTCCATCTCCGCCCGCTGCCCCCAGGCCGGTCCCGGGCCCCGCTGCGCCCGCCATGTTCTTTCTTCTCCGGCTGGTCGCCGCCGCCCGCCCCGCGCCCAGGCCCCGCCCCGCGCCCAGGCCCCGCCCCGCGCCCAGGCCCCGCCCCGCGCCCAGGCCCCGCCCCGCGCCCAGGCCCCGCCCCGCGCCCAGGCCCCGCCCCGCG